CCTTGCAGGACTGCGTGGACGGGAAGGAGAACCCGGCGGAGCTGCAGATGCGATTTCAACAGCAGATGAACCTGCTCCAGGCGCAGCACGCGCAGGAGGTTAAAGAGCTGCAGGATAATATTAGACTCCTGGAGGAGGCCCTGGGGGCAAAGGAGGAGGAACACGAGCAGCTTGTGAGCTCGCTCAACATGCTTGAAACGCAACTCGATAGCATGACGTCCGTGGCGGAGAAGGCTCAGGACGCACTATTGACTAAAAAGGAAGGAACTCGAGTTGAATTGCATTTAACGAACTCACCAATAGTAGATATTCCTCCAGATACCTCGGACCCTAACAAAGAACATCATGAAATGGGAGGTCTTGCTAAAGTTCAGCGTGAAAAGGAGTCATCTCTTCAAAGGCAGTTGGAGGAAGTTACCGCAGAGCGCGATGAGCTCTTTCTTCTTTTGGCGGAGATTACGGAGGAAAAAATGCCGCTGGTAAAAAATGAACAGGTTAGCGCGGCTCATACAGAGGAGAGTCCACCTTTTGCATATTCATTGAATGAGCCAATACGCAATTACGACAGGCTGAAGATGGGAGCTGAAGATCATAAATTGCACGAGGCTTTCAACTCGCTGTCATCAAAACCATTGAATCAGCATGAAGAAATGCATTCGATCCCATATACCCAACCACCCCAACAAGAAAATAAAGATAAAAATGATGAAGAAGACCCAAGTCGATTTTTTCCTCCGATGTTTTCTGCCTCGCTCTCAAGCGATCCACTCCACCTTTCTCAGCCCACGCCAAACTATTTCTTTCCGCAGTTTACTCATTTTGGGAGTGGGAGCGAAACGCATAGGCTCTTTGGGGACTCCGTGAGTCCTGCCGAGGCGCATTGGGTGCCATATTCCACCGATAGAAGCAAATCCTTTCCCACGCTGCAAGATTCAGATGTAAAGTCCTCTCATATAACCGAAAAGGGCGTTGGAAAGGCTGAAGTAGCGCCTTTATTATTCACTTCAGCTGAGAAACCAAGCATGAATAATCCTTATCACTTAGAAGGGCGGCCTCAGGGAGGAGAGGCGGTTGACGGTTCTTCTGGCTTCTTTGCAAGTCTTAAAGAGGAGGTTAAGAAGAATATAAAGGGTGAACTTGATGAATTGTCTCCCCCGATGGATACGCATTGTACGAGTAATGCCGTGCAGGATGTGGAGCCTAATCCTTTCCAGTATATCGGCTCTGCAACAGGGGCCTCGGCGGATCCGATGGAATTCTTTTTGGAGGAAAAGGACGAACGAGTGTGGAATAAAAACGATGCCGATCTTCAGAAGGAAGATTCCCTTTTCGTCAGCCTACGATAAAGATGGTATTTATATTTCCTTTATCCACTCTTATCTCCTCACGCTTTCACCCTTTAGAAAGCAAGAAAGATAATACCATGTAACTTTAGGTTGAAAGTTGGATTTCTTTATTTACGATGCCTGAGAAAGCTATATAAATCTATATTTATTTATTTTTATATATGCGACTTTTTATTGGGTATAAGCAAAATGTCAATTTGCCCTGTAGATTATAATCAATCATTCTAAACCACACTGTTATCACTTTTATAATTCTATTGATCAAATATTCGCATTTCCATTCAAGGTGAAGGGTACTTGCTAAGATGTGTGGTTGAAAGCGGCAAACGTGACGCTTTGAATTCTTATTTATTACTTCTTTTTTTTCATATGAGTTTAGAAAAGAAAGATTAATTAATAAATAAACATCTATACATATTGATAATAAATAACTAATAATTCTCCGTTATTGATTCCTATGAATGTCCCTTATTCTAGCGATGACTTTTCCGGGAAGGATCCCCGGGCGGTAAAGGTCCCTTGTATTCTTGGCGATTGTACTATTCAACTCTCGCACGCGACCACGTACGAGCCGCCTTTTTATTTATTCCCCGAACTCTTGAAAAAAGTCCCCCAGGGGACGCCTCCTTTGTGGGTGTGGGATGCTGTGGCAGATGTGGTGGATGTCCAGAATTCATCTTGGCGGATCGCCGATATGCAGGAACTCGCCTCCTCCTCCACGTCCTTTTCCCCTTCTGAGGGGGAGAAAAAGGGCGGTGGTGAGGGCTCAGAGAAGGGAAATAGCGCGCGTTCGGCCGCCGTTCACACGCTGGCCTCGCTTATTGCTTCCAATCGCCTTCTTCAGGCGGGTCTAACACCGTCAGCGTTGTCAAAAGATAAATTTTCCGCTGCGAGGATGCTGGAGGAGCTTGTGCGGCTTCAATCTCGTGCGGGGTTGGGAAACGAGGAAGGAGCCGTCCTCATGACGAATCATTTTGTTAATCTTTTGGCCTGGCGAAAACTTTGCGAGGTCAACTATGGCGCCGCGTTCGCGACTGGCAAGGAAGGGTTAACATGTGAAAACGAAAAGACAAGGGAGAAGGAGGGAAATTCGAGAAGACGCGCGCGCGTCAAGGAAGAGGAGGAGGATCTTATTGATCGCATGCGGCCCTGTATGGATCCATGGTCTGACGAGATCGATGATCCCGCCAACGCAGGGGTTTTCATTTCAGGCCGGGAGGAGAATGTTGAGCAAAAAGTAGAGCTGCTGGAGACGTTATCGCAGCTTTATGAGCGACCTTGGCGGCGGATGCGCTCACAGGGTTGCCAAACTGAATACATCCTACCCCCTGGTACGATGAATGTTACGAACCCCTACGCTAATGGGCAGCCTTTCCGTGAAAGAAGAGGCGAAGAAACGGTCGATACTACTACACCTAATAATAATTTTTTAAAGATTATAGAAAATTTAGCTTCTCGTGCGGAGAAGTCGCAGCGATTGAACAGCGGCTATACGCTGTTAATTCGCTCAACAACGCTTCCCGAGGTGGAGAAGCGACGAGTCGACTTCGAAGGCGGCGCTTTTAACACGAGAAAGTCGACCCTTCTTTTCGGGCGTTCGTCGGGGTTGCAGTATGGGATATCCGGCGATCCGATTTACATTGATGTAGGGCTCAGCGTCTTTACAAGCCATCCGCAGACACTCTCAACTCTACACTTTGCCCTTATTAGGCGTTCGAAAAGGTGCGATGAGATGAAAGCGAAAAGCTTTCGCGAATCCATCTCTTCCTCTTCCTCGGAAGCAGCTCCAGGTAATAAATCCACATCGAACCACCGCTATAGCGATGAGGAAAGCGAGCGAGTATGTGTGGAAAAATGTGCGAATCCGATTCATCCTGAGGATTTGCTGGAGTCTACGTTATGGATCATAAATTACGGTAGAAATGAAGTTGCTGTCATTCGTAATAGCGAGGAGAGTTCTTTAGAAAAAACAAACCCTTCTTCTTCGCGGTGGATACACATTCACGATGCCTTGCAGCTTCAGGCCGGCGATGAAATCGTTCTAGGCGATGGTGAAATCCGTATCAGCCTCATCACTACGCATGAGCAAAGCAACAACTTAGACAGAGAAACTTTACGAATAAAAAATGAAGAAGAAGGAGACGGAAAAGAAACTCCACTTTCGGTCGTGAAGAAGGAATGCATGATTGAGGAGGAGTGTGAGGTGTAAGAGACGACGAAATATTTACATCGATACATTATTTGTATTTATTGTAGACTCAAATAGGCTTGACTGTCGGATAAAACGATGAATGTGAGATACTCTAAAGTGTTTATCTCGGAAGCTTTAATATATTGTAGAACACGTGAAGGAGTGTCCGGGATAGGGAATCCGAGAAGAAATTTTCAAGGAATAATAATACAGTGTACCATTAGATGAAAAGTAGGCTCTTGCTCTTTTGATTTTTTTTGTTATTTTAATCTAGCGTTCCAAAGTCTCCTCTCCATTTAATCACTGGGAGGGGAATAAATGGGCCTTCTTTTATGTTAAGTTTCTGTTTCACGTTTATTTTTCTAGGAGGAAGAGCCTCTCGTTGTTTACTACCACCACTTCAAATATCTTCGCTTGATGAATTCTGTAATATCATGACTGTACAAATCCATCTAGGCTGCTACCTTGTATAATCAATAGCGGAAAAAAGGGTGATCGGTTTCGACTATCTTTTTTTCAATAGCGCACTTCTTGCTTGTCTGTAATAAATCGCCTTCTGCCTATTTCCACACCTTTTCCTTTGTCTTCCCCTTCCCATGTCACACCCTCAAAGCCCCTGCCCAGGGATTCGAATGACTTTCGCCCATTTCCTTCCTATTGGGGTCTGATAAGGTTACGTACACGTTCACCGCCCATTCCCCCTCATGCGGCCGTCCCACCCAGGACCTGCCAGGGGGGGGCTTCCCACCAGGGGCGACCCCCCGCTCCTCCTTTCCGCTTCCCCTTCCCGCCCCAGCCCCGGGCTCAAGCGCCGCCAGGCCCACCTCAACGTCTGGGCCGCCGTCGCCCTCCAGCAGCACCTCAGCCTCCTCGCCGAGGCCTCCCCCGAGGCCATCGCGGCGGCTGTCACGCCGGCCTC